CACCAGGCGCCCCGCCGCCCCCCACACAACCGCCCCCACTGTCACCACTGTCCTGACCCCCATTCCTACCCCCACTGTTACACTAACCCCCACCCCGATCTCGATCCCTACCCCCACCCCTACCCTCACCCCTATCTCTGCCCCGAATGTAGTGGGGTTGAGTGCATTAGAGACCCATGCTGCCTCTACCAGGCAGGAGTCGAAATGTAGCAGCTATCGCATTGAGCTGTCACAACACAAAAGTTTTTTGTAAGATATTGACAATAATTTTTTTATTTTCTTAATTGAATATAAAACTAACAATTTGTCGTTTTAAGGCTCTACCCCTTAAGCAAAATTATTCATGTCATTCAGGATATCATTCATAACAAGTATGGCTAAGCGTTCTTGTTGTAGAAGGAGATCCTAATGACCATTCTAGATATTTGGTTTCAAGAGTTTGTGGTATGTATTGTTCACAAATACTTTAAGTTGTTTTTATTTAAGTTATTTATAATCTTTGTAATTTTACGAAAACAATTATTCTGGCGACCTGAGCACGAGGGGCACATCCGACATAACTTCGAGCGCAAGTGCAGTGATCGCCTATGAGACATGTTTGGCGATATTCACAAATAACGACATCGTTTACTGTGGCTCAGAGAGGATGTCTTTACCATGCTGCTTAGGACCTGAGATTCCCCAAACTACCAGAAGAAAAGGGAGTACACAAAGCAAAATGAGCGGTCTGTGGAGGCATGAGGCCCTCCAAGTACACTGGTGGGGTGCTCCCACATATTGAATACAAGCAGAAGCATGTAAGATTTCATTCATTCTTTAATCGAAGATGTATTATAATTATTTTGTTATATATATAGAGTTTGGAAATTGGAAAACAACTCTCTACCGTCGATCTACATGAGCGCACCCTCAAGTGGTGGTTCGACATATCCTGGATCAACGCAGATCCCGTGCTACCCACGTAATTCATGAGCTAAACTAGTTTGATGTTAATACATGCTAGCTTTAATTGAATGTAACTCCTTTTTTTTTTGCAGGAGAGATTCCAGTAGTTGAAGGAGAGCTGATACCAGGCGTCGGGAGGTATTATGATACGCGAGTGCGATTCTTCCGAGTACGACCTATGGAGGGAGGCTGCTGGAGGGAAGAAGAAGGATCGAGTCTACAAGCTCAAGCCACAGGGATTGGAGCTGGAGCTGGAGGCCAACATAGAGGCCAAGTTGAAGGCCGATTTAGATTCCTTTCCACAATGGATGAGGGGGCGTGACAAGACAGCGATAACATTGGAGGAGGGGGAAGCGGCGAAGGTTGAGGATGAGGATGCAGAGATAGAGAATGATGATTGGAGGATTTTTATTATTATTATTATTATTATTTGTGTTGTATATTCAAACATATTTTTTTTTGTGAAAAATGATGTATATATTTTAGAGTAAATGCATTTTATTTTTTTTGTTATTTGATTGAATAATTTATTATTCGACTCCTAATCTTTTTCGTTATATTAAATGTTGTAGTAAGAGATGTGATGATGTAAATACGAAAGAGAGTATTTGTTTTTTTTTGTTTTTTTTAATTTATTTTTTTGCTGTTGCTACAGGTTTTCAACAGCTCACTGTCAGTTTTAAGACAACTCTTAACATATCCGTAGGCAAAACAAACGTCTATTCGATGACTTATGTACTGACGCCTAACCGAAACCTAATTGATGGCTTTAGCGTGTCATACGAAAACGACGAGAGCGACGTTTTTCAGACAGTTATTTCATCAACTATAAAATCGACACATAAGCGACATGAAATTAACAGTTTGCCTGCGTCAAAAAATCGATGGGCGAGACATTTTTCCGACGTGTAAGTTGTTGCAATTACCGACGGAGTAAACTCGGTTCTATGAATCGACGGAAACGACAACTTGATTTTTCTCAAAAAAAGCTACGACATTAACTTGTCGGTTATGCGTCAGTAATTTTTTGTCGTTGGAATATCAGTCGATTTTGAAATTAGCTATGAAGGCTAAAAGTTTTTTTAAGGATATGTGGGATCACTTCTGATTTTTAATTTTTATTTAAATTGAAATATATTTGTTATGTTATAATATGATTAGTTATTTTTAAAAAAGAATTAAATTAGCTTTTTAAATGTTTTAAGTGTTTTTAAAATAAATCATTGAATCATGATTTGTGTGTGATTCACATCAAATGAATATAACGTGAGGGGGAGAGAGAGAGAGAGAGAGAGAGAGAGAGAGAGAGAGAGAGAGAGAGAGAGAGAGAGAGAGAGAGAGAGAGAGAGAGAGAGAGAGAGAGAGAGAGAGAGAGAGAGAGAGAGAGAGAGAGAGAGAGAGAGAGAGAGAGAGAGAGAGAGAGAGATGCACAATAATTAACAATAATATGAGATATACAGTAATTAACAATAATCTCAATTGTTGGTTAGTCATTTCTCATAAAATGACTCCCCTATTATAGAGGAGGGGGTAAAATATATGAAAATACATGTTTTTTCCATTGCTTAAATGTAGGCGTTACATGATATTTTAGGTATTTTACGTGTATAGGCCTACCAGCTCCTTCTGACTCGATCAATTGAATTCAGTGGGTTTTGGTTTGATAAGACTTGCTCATTTGACTGTGCTGGATCAGAGTTTTCGGTCGGCCTTTGATGGTCTTCAGGTCGGCAGGACTCAGCTTAGCTTTTCCAGTATGCTATTGTAGTGTGGTGTCAACTATTTATTCGTGAATGAAGAGCTCCTTTTGTCGGACCTAATCAATGTTGTCTTGTGATGTCAAAATTTTGCTGAGTACGGCTACAAAGCTAGCTTCAAATTATTTTAGTTGTTCAATCAAATTGGAAGAGGTTGTGTCATTTAATTTGGGAGTGTGTTGATGGATCCATATAAATAAACAAACTAAAGTTTAATCTTATAGTTTACGTGAACGTATAGTAAATATTTACTTATGGAAGGTCAAGCTTGAAAGTTGTTAAACTTTTTATCAATATGTTATTTTTTTTACATTTAATGTGCGCATACACATTTTATGCGTGGTAATATTTATAGTTTATTAAAGTAATTTTGACAACTTATAATTTTTAGTTCTTATTAAAGATATGGTCAATGATCACGACTGATCGCACCATGTGAAATAGCAGGTCATTAATCAAATTAATTTATTGATGGCGTGTAGAAATTCTTATGCCGTATTTTTTTATAAATGAAGAAAGCATTATTGAATTATACAAAATAGAAACGATATGTACTCGAAGATTCGCGACGGTAGAGTGAATGATTAACGCTCAGCAATGCATGAAAATTTAGCGCACATTCAAATAAAAGAAAATAACCAGTAATGACATCATAAGTTTTTACGTGGACAATCCATAAAGAGCAAAATCACGAGGCCTAACCCAGCTGAAGGGATCTACTATAAATGAAAAATTACAAGTACGGTCCATTGTCCCACAGACGAGAAAGAGTTACACAACATTTTGAGCAAAAAAGTCGGTGCGAGGATGAACTCATTGTGCGAAGTGAGGCGACGACCAATGAGGGATGGTTGGAGGCATTCGACGACCGATGGTCATCGACCGTCGGCCACTGGTGATTGGTGGCGGTCGACGACTAGTTATCGGTGGCAATCGACGGCGAAGTGACGCTGAATTTCAGCTTATTCTCCAAACTTGAATGTTTCTTGCTCAAATGATTGTCACGAAATTTGTATAATGCCTTAAAATTTATGTTGGATGATACAAATTATTTATTTATTTAACATTTCTTTTATTTCTGGTCTTAAAAGATTTTTAAAAATAGAAAGAACAATTAAAATTTGTCTAGGTAAAGTTTCTCTTTTATATTATATTATATATATATATATATTTTCATTTTTTGCCACTATGTACCACGAACACCTGTCCTAAATTAAGTTGGAGGGGCAAGGCCCGACAAGCCACACTCTGCATTTCAGCTTGAAAATTTAAATTGAGAATATAAGTTAATATATTTTTTAAAGGAATGTTTCTAGCTTTATCCCTAAGAAATGTTTCAACTAACAGCCTAGCTTGGTGAAGTTTGGCATAAGCTAAGTGTTGATAATATGTCATTTGGATGGCTATTATTCCACACAAGATACATTTAAAGTGAGAGAAAAGAGAAACAAGCTTTCTACATGGGGGTGAGAGAGTGAGCCTATGACCATTTTTTACGTGCAATGGATCCTTCATGCAATGGGTAGTTGGGATGGTCGGTCAAGGTGGCAGATCTGGAGAACCTTCATGTGACCTGTCCTTGGTGGCCTTCTTGTGATCAACCGAGATTGGTTGGTCGGCTGGTGGTGGCTAACCGACAACTGCTTGTGGTAGCCTGAGATTAGTGGGCCATTTAAAGGCAAGGTTGTTGTCGCAACTCCAACGACTCACTTGACTTGATGAGGTGGTTCTATTTTTTGGGCAATACATAGAACCCCTAAGTTTTTCACTTCTTGGAGGCAAAGTTGTGATAAAAATAGATAACTCACAAATGGATAAAGTATGATTTCATAAGCTTATAGTTTTACTTATTTTCTAGGAGACCTTTTATTAGCTCTTTGGTGAGCAAAAAATTTTTGAAAAAAGATTATCAACCAGTGTCCAAATTTTTGGAGGGTATAATTAGTCAAGCTTTTTTTTTCTTTGTATTTTTAGATAAAAATTTTCCAACTCAAGTCCCACTCCTTGCGCCATCTATTTTACTCTACTCGTAACATCACTTTCGATAGGCCTCACATTTCTTCAGGTCTTAGGTGGATCTTGTCATTGTCTTTGCAAGAGTAACCACCAAGACTCACTAATGAGGTGATTTATGTTATACTCTTTGTCAATCTTATCGCTTTTGGCAGGGAACCACCTCCTTAGCTTTTTTTGAGTCGAGCTTCAAGATAGTTTTTGGAGGTTTCCCAAGGTTGAGTGTGAAGAAAGGCTTTGTTTGCTCGTCCTATATAGAGGGAGAGATATTGAAATGCTCATCTTAGAGGAGAAGCTAGGAGAGAGTTATTTTTTGAATGCTTATTTCCTCGGAGGAGAGGCTTAAGTGAAAAGAGAGATAATTTGTATTGCTCAACCCGGAGGAGAGGCTTAAATGAAAAGTTCTTTTGTTTTTTGATTAAGAGAGAGATCATTTTTTTGCCTTCTTTATTTTTTAATTTTTCTTTTGTCTTCTTTAGTAAATAAAATAAGGAGAGGAGGTACTTATCTTTCTTGTAATACTTCTCTGTACGGGATCTTCTTCCCCTAGAAATATGACGGGATTTTCTTTCTCTTTAGTCTTGCTTCTTTGTTCTCTTCTTATTTTTTCCTTTTTACTTCATCTCTTGCTTTTTGCTTCTTTACATCTTATCTCTTGCTTTGTGTCTTAGCATGGCTTATCCTTTTTCTTGGTTTTTTTTATCTTATATTCTTCTTTTGTTTCTTTTTCTTTTTGTTTCTCTGTTTTGAGCTTTCTCCAACCCGGAATGCTCATCTTCTTATTGGCGACATGTTTCACGCTCACCACACATTTTATGATATTGAATCCAAATCTGTCATTTGGATCATGCCCTAAGGATAGAGCGCAAAATCCGATGAAAGGAGAAAGATGGGGAGAGAAAGAGAGAGGTTTGCCCTGTCGGGAGGCAAAGAGAGGGTGTCCCAGGGCTCGACGAACCCTATTATAGAGAGGGAAAGA